GAGATAGCATGTGTCATTGGCCAGGAAAAAAAAGAAAAATTAAAGACATTGAGGTTTCTGAAGTAAGGTCCCAACCTCTGGGAAACAGTGAGGTACTTAATTATCAATGCATAAAAAGAGAATCATCCTGTGCTGAGGGGTTCCAGTCAATTTTGCTGAAGACATTTTTTGCCAGAGAATTCTAGGATATAGTTATTATGTGGCCACAGCGTTTCCCCCTTTTATTTTATAGTTTATTATGTAGTTTATATATGCATGTATTATATGTTATAGCTTATTCTATAAAGCCATTCTATTTATACAGTTTATCATCCCGGTATAGTCTGTAAATTCTCCATTGGTTTTTGAGAAGAAATCAGTGGTCCACTAAAGGTAATTTGTTTGCTCTCTGGTTTACGTGTCATGCAGTCTAAGAAAAGGCACGCTAAATGAATCTGTTATAAATAAATGTTAACATTTTTATAAATGTGTTGACCCAGGCAAAATGCATTTGGTCTTCTTGTAAGCGTTTAAGGCGAACTATTTTTAAAGCTGTAAGTTGATTTTTCAGGATAAAATTGCTGAGTTGAAGGAAATCTTGAGTCTTTAACAAAGCTCCCAGCTTCCTTGAGGAAAATAGAATGAGAGTAGGTGAGTTAAGGCCTTGTGCCCCAGCTAGGCACTGACACGGGGACACAGCCCCTGAGATGGACAGTCAGCACACAGGCGGGTCATGCCAGCCGTCACCCTTGACTCACTTTCACAGCAGCAGTGTGGAGGGGCTAACTCAGAGGCTCGCTCCCATGACTTTGTAAAATCCCTCTCCTCTGTTGGGCGCTGAGAAGGCTGCTGAAATCACAAATTTCGAGATTTGAAAGAAGATTGGTGGGAACATGGGAGTACTGATAGTCAGAAAGGAGTGTGAGGGCAGTATCTTCAGGGTAATCACCCAGGAAGTCAGCCCAGCTAAGCAAGGTATGTGCTGGGAATCTGAAGTTGATTGAAGGGGCATGTAAGATTCCCTGATGCGTGTCCCTCTGGTTAGGACACACTTCTTCGTACCACCCATTACAGACTAATTGTGTAATTGTCTAATGTTTCTCTTTTCCATGAGATCAGGGCTTCTCACCCGGGAATGATTTTGCCCCTCAAAGGGCATTTGTCTGCAGAGACTTTTGGTTGTCACAGCTGAGGAGGGGAAGTGGTGGCTCACGCCTGTAATTCAAACACATTGCAAGGCCAAGGCTGAAGAATTGCTTGAAGCCAGGAGTTCAAGATCAGCCTGAGCATATAAAATAAAATAAAGACCTATTTTTAAAAAGAAAATGTTATTTTATAAAATATAATTAAAAAGAAACATCCTGCCATATGCGATGGCTCACGCCTGTAATTCCAGCACTTTGGGAGGCGGAGGTGAGAGGGCTGCCTGAGTCCAGGGGTTCAAGACCAGCCTGGACAACTTGGTGAGACCTTGTCTCTACAATAAATCAAAAAATTAGCTGGGCGTGGTGGCGCATTCCTGTAGTTCCAGGTACTTGGAAGCCTAAGGCAGAGGGATCGCCTGAGCCCAGCAGGTCGAGGCTGTGGTGACCATGAGCGTGCCACTGCACTCCAGCCTGGGCGACAGAGTGAAACGCCTACTAAAAAAAAAAAAATAAGCATCCTACACCATAAAAGTCCCACAGGAGGAGTTTTCCTCTCTCAAATGTCAGCAGTGTCGAGGCTGAGATGTCCATGGTAGTCTGCATTAGGCTAAAGTTCTTAGAGGCCACCTGTCTCGCTCAGTACTTTATTCCCAGCACCTAGCAGGGAGCCGGGCATATCAGGAGACACTCAGCACATACTTACTGAATACAACTGAGCCAAGATAATTTCTTTCTAGCTAGTTTGCTAAAGTCTTGAGTAGGCACCAATAGGCACTCTTAACACTGAACACACTGCACAAGACTGATTTTTTCCTCCACTTGGACATCACTGACCCTGCTTCTAAGCTGCAGATATTCTGAGCAGAAGGGGTTGCTTAAGAAAGGGGTGGCATTAATTATGTCTCTCCTCTCTCTGCCTCATCTCTCAGTATTAAAATCTACATATATATAGGTTAGCACTTGCTCTTGAGAAGGGAATGAAATTAAAGGGAAGATCTTTTTCCTTTGTTTATACCTGGTATTTTGGTGTACAGTGATGATCTACATTGAATGTTGACCTTGGCAATGGTGATCATCAGATTTATTTTCAAGGAATCCGGCACTGAATGTGTGTGTGTAAGAAAGGAGGTGGTGATGTAAGAGAGGAAAATTTCCAATGAAGTTAGCATTTTTAATGCAATTTGGTCTTTTTTTTTTTTTTTTTGAATGACAGTCTCACCCTGTCACCCAGGCTAGAGGGCAGTGACACGCTGCTCATGGCCATCACATATTGACCTGCTGGGTTCAGGCGATCCTTCCACTTCAGCCTTCCAAGAGGCTGGAATTATAGGCATGCACCACCATGCCCAGCTAATTTTTTGATTTATTGTAAAGATGAGGTCTCACCATGTTGCCCAGGCTGGACTTGGACCCACGGGCTCAGACAATCCTCTCACCTCCACCTCTCAAACGTATACTTCATTCCCCTCTCCATACACACACACCTGAGTATTTACCCTTCTTTCTGCTCTTTGGCATGGTTTCAATTAAATAATTCTTAACGTGGAGAGATAATCTTAAATACGATAAACAGCCTGCAAATTAGGTCAACTCTTAAGTGCTCAACTTGACTGCTCCCCAATATGACAAGTCAGTTGTTTGTAAACTTCCTTCCTTCCCTGCTCCTTCTTTCCTTCCTTTCCTTTGAATCGGGGTTTCATTCTGTGACCCAGACTGGAGTGCGGTGGTGCAATCACAGCTCACTGCAGCCTCAACCTCCTGGGCTCAGGTGATCCGTCCATCTCAGCCTTCTGAGTAGCTGGAAGTATAGGCCTGTGGCACCACACACGGCTAATTTTTAAATTTTTTTGTAGAGACAAGGCCTCACTATGTTGACCAGGCTGGTCTCGAACTCCTGGGCGCAAGCAATCTTTCCACCTCAGCCTCCCAAAGTGAGGGGATTACAGGCATTTGCCACTGTGCCTGGCCGTATGTGAATTTCTAAGGGAGTCACAGGGCCTATATGATACAGGGTTTATTGAGGAAAGACCTCCAGAGAAGAAGTTGAGCACACACACATGCTGAGATTACAGGCACGAGCTGCCATGCCTGGCCCAGTTTAGTCATTTTTTTAGCTTATATAAAGAATATAGCCAAGCATTGTGACTCACACCTGTAATCTCAGAACTTTGGCAGAGGCAAAATTATTGCCTAAACCCAGGGATTCGAGACCAGCCTGGGCAATTTGGCAAGACCTCGTCTCTACAAGAAATCAAAAAATTAGCCAGGCGTGGTGGCACATGCCTGTAGTTTCAGCTACTTGGAAGACTGAGGTGGAAGAATCGCCTGAGCCCAGCAGGTCGAGGCTGTGGTAGCTGTGAGCATGCCACTGCACTCCAGTCTGGGCAACAGAGTGAAACTCCAATTCAAAAAAAAAAAAAAAAA